GAATTAGGTAATTAAATAATATATTAAAGTTAGGTCAATGTACCTATATAAGTTGGCCTTTGGGAGATATAAAATTGTTATAGAGTTGTTAATACAAGAGCAAAATGATGAATGTAGGGTCATTAAGAACCCTTTCATGCATACAATTATCAACGTAAGGCATAATATTACACAAACACAGCCACGTGAAATATATATTACAAATTTCTAATTTAATTTATATATTACAAGCTATTAGAGAATTTTGAGAGTTCACATTGGTGTTTGGATTTTGATCAATCATAGTATCACAACGTGTAGGGTAACAATTTAGAGTAATACTAGCCTTACAAAGAGCTATACAAACAGTCAAATCCAGTCCTTGAAAGAAGAGAAAAAGTGAGAGAGAAAGAGGCAATCATGAATTTCAAGGGCTGAATTTGATTCTTTGTATGCCTCTTTGTAAGACTAGTATTACTCAACAATTTAATGTTCAGAGTGATAATCCAAGATCTTCTTCCCACGAGCAGCTCATAGTTTATGCCCTAATTCCAGCCCACAGCATCTTAATTATATTTATACTTTAATTAAACTCGATTTCTGTGTGTTATCATCCTTCTAACACATAATTAACTTAATAATCCTTTATACTATAATGTGGTCCCAAATCTGGTTTATTTTTTATTTATTTTTTTGTTTTTTCATTTGGTTTTATATATCTATATATATATATATATATATATATATATATGTCATGGGAGATAATGGCATTGAAGAAATTTTTATATAAAGGAAATATCAGTCCGCATCGTTAAGGCAGGATCCTGCATGTCATAAGGTGAACATTTGGATGAGTTAATTAATTATAATTAATTAAGCATGATTTTAATATAAAGTACGTGGACATAGCTCCATGTTAGTTGCCTGTAAATCACATGCAAAACTGATCTTTATACTCTAGGTTAAAGGTGAAGTTGCCTTTATTAAATTTGACACTTCAAAAGGGCTTTGGAGGTTGTGTTAATACTGTAAGTTGTTGAATTTTTCTCATCTTTTCATATAATTAGAATGATATTACCCACAGAACATTAAAAAAAAAATAAAATAATAATAATAATAGAAATAAAAGCTCATCTTGCAATTCATGTAATGATGAACTCAACTCAAGAAGTAGTGAAACAAGGAGAAATTTTATGGTGCATTAGATGTACCATAAGAATCATCAAATGATATTACATCAGAATGCTGACAAGCATTTTTCCACACCCGAATTTCTCGGTGAAGAAGACGAAGAACCTTTAGCTTTTTATCAAATTGGCAATTTCGTCATCCAGCCTTAGTGCCCTACCTTGTTGAATTATTGTGATGGAGGGGGGAGTGGCCTTTTTATCTTGTTCATCAGGTGAAAGAGAAAGGGAAAAAAATAAAAAAAATTATATATATATATATAGAGTCAAGTCACAAAATCATGAAACGATTGAAACATGTGCTGAAAGTAGAGAGAAATGTGGCAATTTTTCATGGAGTCTTAAGATGTTTCATCGCAAACTCCTTATAATTATCTTTATGTCTCTCAAATTCTATCTTTTACATCCATCAATGACCCCATCTCACTTTGTGATCGAGCCTCAAACCACTAACGGTGGGCCATTCATCCTTTTGTTGAAGTTGAGAGACGACTTATTTTCATATAGTAATTTCAAGTGGGTAACAAATTAAAAAAGTAATAGTAAGATAGGTCTTCGAATATGCTCATTGAATGACTTGAAGACTCATTTGGATGCTCAGTTTCTTGCTTTTAACATGTTTTTCATGAAATTTTACAAGAAAAAATTCATCTTGCCGACACAGAAATGGCCGACATGGATAGCATTATGCACTATCATAAACTGGTAGAAAGATAGATTTGAAATGACATGGTAACACAACACAAAATGTTGGTACTTTGGGATGTACCATATTCCGGACATGTCCTTACAATATTCTCAAATGTAGAGAAAGTTAAATGAATTCAGGTTAAGTTTGATGCCCATGTGTTCTCCATTTTCATGCTCTTTAACTCTAAATATAGATAAGATAACCCCTTCTAAGCTAAAACTACAAAAAGGTTTAAAAATAATTTCTCTCCAACAAAACTATCAATAACCCACTACCGCAAAAGCTACACATGTTTTACTTCTCTTTTTACTCAAAAGCTCAATCAAATATATCATGCACCCTCATGGATCCAAGTCTCCATCCATTAATGTGACACTTTATTTATTATTATAACTTTATTATTGTTTATTTCTTTCACTTTCAGTGAAAGTGAGTTTTACCCAATCGAGGAATTGGTGTGTTTGTTGTTAACTCTTATTCATTTCATTTCACCTGAATGTTTTAATATATATATATATATATATGCGTGCTTTATTAATACTTGTTCATCATGGAGCTCTCTGCTACAGCTTATCCACTTACTGTGCCTCCATTCTTGTCGGTAAAGTGACCCAAAATTTATGCAAAACTGTTCCTCTCTCGACAGTAAGTCAATTTCAATACTCATCCAAGAATTTAGAATCATTGTTGTCTATCTCCAAGCGTCTTACAATTTTGTATATTAAAAACTAAATGAGATTGCGAATAATATAACAAAAAGAGAAGAGGGTATATATTTTTGTTTAGAAAAAACAAGAATTATTGAGATATTCATGGAACATAAAATGGTAAAGCTAACAGGAGAATGGCAAAGTGTGGTTGACTAGAAGTTGAATGTGCCATGCATCACAGAATTAATATATATATATATATATATATATATATATAAGTTTACTATGATGGAGAAGACTGTGTTTTGTGTTGAATTGAAGAAAGAAAAGTAATCAAAAAGCTGAAATCAAATCTTTCTTTTAAATTAAAAGCAAACAACATGACATACAGAATCTAAAGAGCTAGAGCTAGCTGGACTCAGCTTCTTCTGGTGTCCATTGAAAACTTGGTGGTGAGAACTGGTGACAAAGATATTAAAAAATAATAATATAGCTTTTTACAAAATCATTACCATGAGAAATTCTAGTTAAGTGTGAGGCTTAGATTATAATCATGATATAAAAATAATATATAAATATATATAAAGTATGGTAGCACTGATGAATGACTACATGGCCTAATAAGGCATATTTCCCAAATTGGGAAAAAATGGACATTTTTTTTTTTTATAAAAAAATTTGAAGCATTTGAAGAAGAAAATAAATAAAAAAAAGCAAATGGGTGAACTGGGTATGCCCACAAATCACATGGTAATAGCAATAAAATGAGTTTGTCGGCTCACTTTTTAGGGCTGAGATTGGAATAGTAAGTGATATGTTACACCTTTGTGTGTTGATGCAGAAACATTTTGATTATGCTCTACCATGTAGGAGAGGATAAACATTAATCCTTCTAAAGAAAAAAGAATGAATGAATGCTTAGCAAAAGAAGATGAAGATGTAGATGGCTTTTAAAAGTAGCAGTAGTAGTAGTAGCAGCTAGCAGTGTTTTTATGATTCCAAAGCAACAATTCTCCATCGTTAAGCATTGGTTTAAGATTCCTCTTTTTGATTAATTGTTGGTTTTTGGTTTGCTAATCAAAAAAGCAAACTGTGATTTAGACTCCTTGAGTTTATGTCCAATCCAAGTGATCAATATGCTTAGGTAAAACCTTTCAGCCCATCTTTTCATGTCCCCAGTTACGGTAGCCAGTGGGTCCTTAATGGTGCCAACACTCTCTTACACCACAAATACCCAAGAAAAAAATATTTTTATCTCTGGTTTAGATTATCATTGCACTCATTTGTTGTACTAGTAGTAGTAGCAGCTAAAGTCTTTTAGTTGTAGGGGCACATTAAATTTATTTACTTTGCCATTCTTTTTTGAACTAAATGGGATGACAATACAAACAACATAGATTTTAGAATTTAGTGTGAGATTCAGACCTAGTAAAGTGGGGAACATATTCATATGGAAATTGAAAACAAAACTAAATATGTATAATTTGGAGATAGATTACATAAATGTGTTCCTCACTTATTTATTATCCAATATAAACATTTTTCAATTAGGCTTTGTGGACCATTCATGTTTTCAACATTTGCTGCTTTGTCTAGATAGTGCTATGGAAAATTGAGATATAAGCATATTGCTTTCTTAAAATTTGTATTTTCTGGGTATTTGTTTATGAGGTTTGTGTTAAAATAAGGGGTTTTGGAAGAAGTGTTGGCCCTGTTTGTAAACGCTACTAGAAAGAGAGGTGGTGTGTCATGTCTGCCTAAAAATTGACCCCCATGAAGAATGGAAAAAGAAAATTGCATAATTATGTTTTGTTTTAAGTACGAATTTGGGATTGGCCCCCCCCTCTCTTCCTCTCTTCTGTAATGAAAAGGAAGTGGTGGATGAACATAAAACACAGCTTTTGAGTATGCCCCCACATCACCTTCTCTCTTTAAATGAATTATACCTGTTTTGTTTTTGTTTTTGTTGTATGATGGTAGGTATGGGTTAGGGGTATCTAGACATCCACGTTTCACATCTTCAACACATTTTCTATTCATTTTTCTTCAACATACTCAAAAATATTCCCCCGAATCCTCAATTCATTGGCACTTCAAGATTCAATATGTTATTAATCCGACAAAGAGATCAGTAAGGTTATGGTTCAGAGTTGTTATTTCAAAAGGGTATTAATCAAAATGCCATCAGCTTGAGCAGATGAACTTTAAAATAGAATAGTGACAGCATTATTGCCCATAATTGACTATGTCACACTTAAACTGGTTCACATTTGCCGTGATGTCCACCTCTTGATTGACATTTTCCTCTATAATTATGAGGTATAAGAACATTGTATCGGAACAAACTGAAGACTTCTGGAATCTGTACTGATGTATGATAGGCTGTGTTTCAACAAAAGAAGCAAAAAAAGAGCTCAGTTTCATTTGCATATTTACATTACAAACATTTGACGGATACAAGCATTAGAACAATCAATATATATATATATATATATATATATCACAGTACAGTGAAGTTGCAAGAGTCACTGTCGCATGGTTGCCAAAGGAAGTTACCAAAAGGTCCAGAAACAAAATTTGTTGCATTAGATGTTGGATAAGCTGTCTCATTCAAATACTGAAATATCTCCATGCCAATTGCACGAAGCAATTATGTCAGGCAGGATGGGATGGATAGCAACGTCTATGCAAGACTGCTCATACGCCTTGATTTTTCTATCAAGCTTTGTGGATCTACAGTTATATATGTAAATAGAACCATCTGAGGAGCCTGACACAAGCTTCTCTCCATCCAAGCTGAAATTGCACTTGATTGGGAACCCAGATACCACATGGTTTTCATATCTCCGGTACTTGTCAAGCCTGAAAGGAGGACTTGAAGAAAAAATTGCTATATAATTTCCGTTTGACTGTGCAACAAAATAGGGATCAAACGGGTGGTGCCTAATACAGGGACACGTATAGGCTTCCACATAAACCTGATACAGAAGGAAGAAAACATTACAAACAGAAAAGGAACTGAACCAAAGAAATTGTTGGTAGTCAGTCTTGTTAACAATCAGTCTAAAATGGTAATTCACATTTGATATAACATCACCCCACCAGAATGCATTTTTAATCAGCAATATGGAAAACTAACACATTGTGCTAGGATCTACTTAATCCAAAACCACATTCTAAAAGTAGACAGCTTTAAGACAAGCATGGTAGCACTAACAAACAATAGAATTGTCAAGGGATATAAATTTTGACATGATGGAATACTAGTCATTCAGTCTTCTGTTTTCAACACCATACTTGAAAAGCCAAAAGTTGCGTAATTACACACGATAATGCCAAATTCAAAGGCTTCTTTATGGGAGAATCAGAACATTTCCCGAGTCATGTAATCAATTATTAATTAACGTTAAGTGGACAGAAACTTTAGGAAAAGATGGACATGGGTGAGGTGATGCTCTAAAAAAAATTCCATTATTGGATTGCCAACTTGGACAGTCAAGTTGGTACTTCCCCATAAAAACGATGGTGCATGTATCAGAACTCACAAGAGCAATGATTTTGAGGTTGTGACAAGGTGCTTCCCAGCAGTGACTTTACTGTCAGGATAGATTAAGCATACATATAGAAATTATATATCTTGTAAATTTATTTGAAAAAGATTTTCTAATTTCTCATATAGCCAATTAGTGGAGAAGCATCTAGGTGCACTATCAGCACTGCGTTTTCTTTTGGCAAAAAAAAAAAAAAAAAAAAGAGAAAAAGAAAAAAAAAGGCTACTTGATGTAAATATGTAATTTCAGAAACCAGTAATTGTGCTGCAAGACCTAATCTTCATTCCTTATTTGTCTTAATAATTTCATTTCAACTCTCTACACACATGTTTCCGCATTTACTAACATATTCTCTGTATGTAAATCAGAACTTCAATCCTAACAATTACAATAAGCAAAGTTACATATATCTGGTCCATCCAAAATATAATTATTGTTTGATATGGGATCATAATCAATCCATTCAAATGGAAGTATCCAATTAAAATCCAGTAACTAATTAGAGCAATTATTATGTAGTCTGACTAGTTAAGAGGCCAGATCTGTACAAAGGGAAGTGATTCTTTGAGTTTGTATCCTTGACAATAAGCAGAACATGATTTCCAATTTACAATTTGATCCAATAACCATCCACATCTGAAACTAATGCAAAAACCTGAGCAGAGTAAAGATCACAATTAAAGAGAACAATGAATTTCTCAGAGAATCTTTAGTCTAGGAATCTGGAATCTGTGGAAGAGTGATCTGGCTTCAGATTGTAGGATAAATCCACAGGATACCTAACATCTAAATAAGAAGTACTCTATTCCCTCCCATCTCTAAAGGCTATCAACATTCAAACATTAGTAAAAACCATGTGAAAAGGAAACCAATTGTGTTTTGCGTAGCTAAAGAATTACTCTTGTCTATTTGTCTAGGAGAATGTTAAAGTAAGGTGGAATCAACTTTAATAACCAGATGTGAACAAAAGGAGTCTTGCTACAGGCCAGAGATACAAAGAGGACACCATAGTGATTGCATGGGAATTCTGTACTCTGGAAGAGCTACTAAACATATTCTGTATCCCAATTCTTTGCTTATGCTAGCTCATTAGTGTATTGTTCTTCACACTTAAGCAGAAACTTTATAAATGTAAAATGATTTTAGAAAGCATAAAAGAATCCTTCATCCAGACTAAGGGAGATGACCCCCACATGAAGAGGGCATATCCAGGGACATAATTAACATGGAACTCTAAAGAAAAATAGAATTTATTCAGAGGAGTCTATTACCTGATTAGACAATGGAACCTCTCGCGAGATATCCCAAACAATAACAGAATTCTCACTCATATTGACTCCCGATACATCACTGGAAGAGATAAATTGCTTCCCATTGATGGTAAATTCAACATCAAGAATTGGACCCAAACCTCGAATGTATTCATGTACCACCTTGCCCCTTCTAATATCCCACAATCTGATAGAGCCCTTTGATCCCCCAGAAAGGAAGAGGTTGGGGTTGTCGGGATGGAACTTTATAACTCTAATAACTTGTTCTTCCTTGAAGTTCTGTGTCTCTATCCCCTTTTCAACATCAATTAACCTCAATGAGCTATCATAGCCACAAGAAAGCACAAAAAGTCCCTGTGGAGACCACTTTACATCATTCACTGCTGCATTATGGAAGCTAAAAGCACGTGCTAACTTCTGATGTCTGCTCCACACATTCCATATGCAGATTGAGTGATCCATCCCAGCAGAAGCAAGAAGATGAGCTGCAGACTAACTCTANATCACTGGAAGAGATAAATTGCTTCCCATTGATGGTAAATTCAACATCAAGAATTGGACCCAAACCTCGAATGTATTCATGTACCACCTTGCCCCTTCTAATATCCCACAATCTGATAGAGCCCTTTGATCCCCCAGAAAGGAAGAGGTTGGGGTTGTCGGGATGGAACTTTATAACTCTAATAACTTGTTCCTCCTTGAAGTTCTGTGTCTCTATCCCCTTTTCAACATCAATTAACCTCAATGAGCTATCATAGCCACAAGAAAGCACAAAAAGTCCCTGTGGAGACCACTTTACATCATTCACTGCTGCATTATGGAAGCTAAAAGCACGTGCTAACTTCTGATGTCTGCTCCACACATTCCATATGCAGATTGAGTGATCCATCCCAGCAGAAGCAAGAAGATGAGCTGCAGACTAACTTTAATGAACAGATCAATAAGGCCAGAAATATAATGAATAAGCATAATATATTTTGACTTAAAACTTCAACTTAAATAATTAGAAATTTTGTCCTTGAAACACTGAAATGAAGGATCACTGAAAGAACATATTAGGACCCATTGTTGCCTTGAGTTATGGAGTTAAAGGCAATTAAATGATAAAAAAAAAAAAAATAGCTTAACACTTCAACTTAAATAATTAGAAATTATGTCCTTGAAGCACTAAAATGAAGGATCACTGAAGGAACATATTAGGACCCATTGTTGCCTTCAGTTATGGAGTCACAAGGCAATTAAATGATAAAAAAAAAAAAAAAAAAAATTAATAACAACTGAAATAAATGGAGAAATGCTGCAGGAGGAGATATTATTTAAACTATTTTTCCAATAGCAAGAGCATACGATGAGTTGGTGACCATTGTATTGTATTCACAGCTTTTGTATGACAACAAAGAGCTGCAAACAGCCTTCCAGATAATCTGCTTTGTTGTACACGGCGCTTTGGTCGATACCTCAATGATGACAGAATATCATGTGGTATATCTGATTCTGAAATGCTTCCCAGGACTGCAAACAAGATGAACTATAGAAGTGAAGAAACAAATCTCTATCAGGCAAATAAGAGTCAATCTAAACATAATTGAATATTGTATCAGTGAGGACAAGTTCTACATAAGCAATGATCTCATGCATATCCCACCAAAGTAGGGTGCTACAAGAGATAATCCAAATGCAGTCCTAACTTCATTAGGCATATGTGGGCTTTGCAGCCTCAAATTTTTATCATTCCACCAACCATTGGATCCAAATAGTTCGAATATGCATTTAATTGCACCAAACATTGGATCTACTTCACATATGTATTTAATGAGAAAATATTTAGTAATACTGTCTTTTTTTATGTGAACCTAATATTGTGAACCTAATATTCTTTTAAATCAAGATACATGTCTATTTTGGCAACAATGCCAATTAGCTTCAAATAAGTCTGACTCTAACTCCATTTCCTTTACCTCTACTGCAGTTGAATAGATGATAGATCTACTAAATAATTTGACCATCTCAAGCAATTATAGTGAAAGTAATCCAGCTCTAATTCATTACACCTACAGTAAACCACAAACTGCAGCAGCTTGTTCATCATATTTCCTAACCTAGAAAACTGTTGCATACAATCGTAAGAGATGTGGAATTGATATAGGAATTATATCTGTCGTGGTTTTAAACAACCCTTAGTGTCAAAACACAAAAGTACGTGTCAAATTATTCATGATAGCGTAGAACATAGAACACTAATCTCTAAGCATACAAAACTTCTTATGCAAAACTTTTAAACGAATCTCTGATGCAGCTAAATGTTTGACAATCTTCCTCTCCGCCTTCTTTCATCCTACGATGCATTTGTGTTACCAAAATTACATACATAGAGACATGAGATCATCCATTCATCCATCCATTTTAATTGTTCAAGTAAATACCAACATATAATATAAAAAATGAATCCCAAGTCAAAAATGCTTTAAACTCTTTCAAATAGATGAGTGTACAAAAAAACGCTTTTAAATTCAAAATCCCTCCTACATCTATTTTGTAATGTTTGATTGCAACAGGAAAATGCACATTAAAAAGGCAAATTATGGGCAATACTATACAAAGCAGTACTTGGTCAAAATTCGGAAAAAAAAAAAAAAAAAAATCAAAGAAACATGAGCTATGCTACACCTACAAACTAATTTATACATACTCAAACTACTTGCATAAACTAATTCACATACATTGATGCAGTTGCAGCTGTAATGCATATGATTATACCACATCAGTTTGTACTAAATTAGTTTTTTCTTTTTTCTTGGGAAGTTTGTATGTGTGGTAACACTCCAAAAACTTAATAAATACCTTCTCAAGAACAGTTCAAAAAGCCCTACCACCCAAAACTAAAAATAAAAATCCACAGAAACACTTCCAAACCCTACTGTAGAAACATGATTTCAACATTCACCACAGATATTGCATTCACAGTAAAGCTACTCTAATAGTACATCATTCATTAACCAAAAACTGGAGAATAATAATAAGAACATAATAAAGCTAATACCTGGTTTAGTGACAGTTGGGTTCTGGCTCGGGCCGGGTTCAGGAACTGTCGGGACAATGGAACCGGAAAGCGCTCGCTCTCTCTTTGATATGTATCTGCCAGCAACCGGAGTTTCGTTGTGAAGACTTGAGTAGAGTTGGTTCGGGAGAGGCACGGAACGAGGCTCTGTCAGGGGATACGAGAATTCGGGTCTGGGTCTGGGTCTTTTTGACGGAGGAAAAAGGGGATTTCTGGATATGGGTTTTGATTTGGGTTCGGATTCGGGTTCGTCGTCTGAATTGGTCGAGTATGCGTTGCAGAGAAGATCCATTGCGCGAAGTCTGAAAAAGAGTTTTACTTTGGCTGCATAAATATAATGTAGCGGAATTTGAGTTGTTTTTTGTAAATAATAAATATTGAAATTTTTTCATTTTATTATATAATTTAAAAAATAAAATTGGAATTTCTTTATTAAAAAGGAACAATTAGAAAGTATTTTACGATTTAATAAATAAATCTTGAAAACGGAGAAAAAATAATAATAATAATAATCAAATGCCTTTCTCCATTGGTAGAAATTTGTTTCTCAAAATAGAGTGCTTATGAACCAAACGTATACCAATTACATGGCCCAAGTAACTCGTAATCGAAACTGAAGGCCTCTACAAAACCTTCTAATACTAAGAAGCATGATTTCTTACAGAATTTAACCCAGATTTTGTGGAAACAAACCAAGTAAACTACACTAGATATATACATCCTGAACGTGTCAGGCTACTATGAATTAAATCTATAACCCAAACTCAAACTGTAACATTCTCCAAAATCTTTCCTGTCAAGCTGAGAGATGCAACAGGGACGATTTGTCCTTTACAACAATGAATTTCTATTTCTATAGCTAGCCAATGATTTCAAGGACATTTTCAAGTGAAAGGAATAAAATTATCAGAAGTGTGCTTGGTGGTGTAAACATTGTGTCCTAGTTACCGGGTTTAAACAAAGCTCAGTTTCCTATACCTATATAGTTTGCTAGAGTGGATATTTCCATTGCGAAAATAATGTCTCTTTCAATTCCGAAGATAGGAGTTCCATGGTGCACAGCGCAGTTGATAGGTCGATAACTCAGTCAAAGCTATAATGGTTCATTCCTGGGATCAGTACTATCGTAACATACATGAAATAAATTTTGCAGAACAATGTCGATATGTATCTGGAACTCCAAGGTCATCCTGAGACAGCCATCAGTTGTTATCATAAATAAACTCTATAAATCAAATTCAAAAAGGTTATAAGATTAAAATAGGGAGACATTCAAGCGGTGAAATGTAAAGATAAATCTACCGGAATCTTAAAAGTAACCAGTATATTATATGTATAAAAATACATTAATTCAAGGTTGTTGAGCATATTTCCAAAAATTAGTCCGCTAAGGCTATTTACACACCCTCATTTGAGCTCAGACAAGCAGCGACAAATGCTGTAGACAACAGGATTGACCAATTCATCCAGCAACTATAAAGTCGAGCATTTGCATGATCAGACAGATGCATTATCATTATGAACCTTTCAGTTCCATCTTCTAATCCACACCCTTCAAATTCTTGTACAGTGTCAGTCAGGTAGAGCATGCTTCGATTGCAATGGCTGACGAGCTTGAAGCTCTAAGCCCTCAAACCAGTCTCTGAGGCTCAACTAATCACCTAACATGTTTAACTATTGAAAACAAAGTCGAGGATTTTGACATTAAGCCCAATCCCAATTAGAAAAGCATTCAAGCCCCAAATTTAGCAGCCAAATGTCAACTTTTTATACCACTTTATCTCTCTATGCATACCGAAGTGGGGAATTGTCTATGAAAATACTAAAAAATAAAAATAACTACCTCAGAAATATAATATGCTTAACTATAAATTTTAGACATAATGTAGAAGACACCAAAGCAATGAGAGCGAAAAGAAGAAAACATCCGGGATAAGAACATCCTTGTTGTATGTTATCCTAGCTCTTCAAGCACAGTGAAATACTCAACCATATCTAAACACTAGGGGTTAGGTTGAATCATTAAGACCCTTGGTTCAAACCAAAAGGTTAGCGATTCAAATCGTGGAGGCCCACCCACTTGGGATATTATAATTCTATAAGTTCTTGACTGCCATGTCATAGAGTCCGACAGCAGTCCACAATTTCAAACTCGGTTAACTCAATAAGATAGGTAAGGGATTTCTTTTTGTATCAGAAAAAGAAAAATATGGTACCATATCTAATATTCGTGTCATTTCCTAGCATCTAAGCTTTAAAGCAGGTGGTTTCACAAGACATTGGTCATTTTTTGGCAAATAATCAAAGATTTATTTCAATTTGCTAAAACGAGCAATACGACAAATGCGAATTAAATGCATTAAAAGCAGCATTGATACCATCTCTATTTGTATAAATAACAAAGGATCCAAGAGAACCCCACCACTCTCAAATCTCAATCTTCAGTTGTATTTTCTTTAGCTTCTCTTCTTCTTTTCAACTTTTAACAATCAGGTTTTTCCTCTCCTTGAATCACATAATCCCACAAGTCATATCCCTCATCAACGTGGAGCTAATTTTATCATTTTCATCGTGCAGCAGACATTAGAAGCAGAGGTAAGTATGCATTACACTATCTCATGCCTTTTTGTTCTTCAGTTAAAAGAATCTGTATGTCACTCAAATAACTTTCTACTGTTGATCACTAACTATGAAATTAAAATTCAGGGAAAATTTGGAAAAAGAAAATTCGAGACTATTTGAATCTTGCTTTTTAAAGTAAAATATTAAAGATTACTAACTTCTTTCTATCCTATAAAAATTGATGGTTAAGGCTTTGTAAATATTGTAAATTAATTTCATGCATATTTAGAACTAGGTATTCATTGTGTTCAATTTTAAACTAAAAGCAAACCAGTTTTCCCCCAAAGCAACCCATAGATCATCAAGACAAGACCAAATAAACCCATTTAATGCTCCATTTGGTTTGGGTATTCATAAGGAATATTATCAGGGACCCCCTGAGAAAACTAAAGTGTCACACATGAGAAAATTTGTCAAAATAAGTAAAATCTTTTTTAAGTTAGAATCATCAAATAATTAAACCTTCACAACTTAAGACAACACAAATCTAAATACCATACAACTAGATCGCTTTCAAAGAAAGAGATGTATTGTTGGCCTTCTAGTTCAATTTAAAGGACATCTTAACATAGACCCGTCCACATTGTTTCAGTTTTAATAGGACCAATTCCCCCATAGGGTCAGGTTAGGTCTCTTCCTAGAACAGACCAACCTTATGTAACTGACAACAAACTTTATTTGTTCTTTTCTGTTTGCTAAGAAATCAAAAAATTACTAAGAAGAGGAATTTTAATGTTCTTGGATCTTTGCTTAAAACAGCTTTTATTAAAAAAGCACCCTGTTATACAAAGCAATGATCAATCTTCTGATGGACCCTTAGTGTTTCAACGATACAAAAGAAAGGGGTAAAAAGGGGAATTACTAAGAGTAACAGGTGGCAGAGTTGGTTAAGAAGAATCTGAGTGTGTCAAGAATAAAATGAGGGACGTGAGTGTGTAGAGGGTATTCTGGATTTTGGGTGTGTATTGTCTGAAGGTGCTGGCCCTCGAAGACCAGCTGTTCTTCTTGCCTTTGAGTCTACTGTGATTTGCTTATTTTGCTTATTGAACTACTGTTACATTGAACATCAATATTATCTATAATTTTCATCGAGTTATTCCATCTTTTATTCTTGTTTATTGCTTGGTTGTTGGTTTAATGGCTTATTGTGCGTGTTGAGTTGCTGTGTGTGAGTGAAGGAGGTGAGCTTGGGTTAATTTCAAAAGGCAGTATCCATCACCTTCAAAGTATCAACAGTTTTTTCTGTTTGCAAAGACATCAAAAATTACTTGGTACTCATAGGATCTACATCAAATATTCAAAATTAGCATTTTCTTTTTGGCAGCTTTCAATCTTAGTCAACAATCAACCTTCAAAGTATCAAGAGTATGGAAAGCAACAGCAGAAGCTATGACAAGGACAAAAATTTAGTGAAACGAAGAACAAAACAGCACAAATCTTACACCATCGATTACATGAATTACATACCTGAAGCAATTTTATTCCACATCCTTTCGTTCCTTCCACACAGAGAGTTGATTGTAATGAGTCTCTTATCAAAACGATGGAAAGGCATTGTTGCAAGTTTCTTTTCGGTGATTCCACAAAACCTGAATTTCAATGAAGTAGAGATGACAAGGAGTATCCTCAGAAAAGATATACAACTTCTGCAGCTTCCACTAACTGGCAATTTTGCAAGTACCCGTAATTATCTGCAATCCCTATATCAATTGATACATGCTGCACGAGAGAAATCCATACAGTTTGTGGATCAATCCTTTCTGCTCCATTCTGGTTGCACTATCAATAACTTACTGTTATCATTCCAATTTGAAGCACATGAGGTATTTGGATACACTAGGAAGATCAATAGCTGGGTTAAATTTGCTTTTGAAAATGAAATCAGAGAGCTTTTTTTGGACTTCTCTGCTGGACAATTTTATGAAGCCACTGACCTTACTGAATTATATGAATTACCTCATGGCAGTTTTGCACCCAAAGTATTGGAAACTTTAATCCTGAACTTTTGCAATTTTAGATCATCTAGCTTTCAAGTTTTTGAATCTCTTCAGAGGCTATCTCTAGTACAGGTAGAAATCTTTGACTCCTCACTAGCTGAGCTAGCATCCAAAAGCCCTCTTCTACAAGATGTGAACCTGGAAAACTGCATCATTCCTGAAAATTTTTTGGTGAGTGATGAAGACATAACGATCAAAAAACTGTCAGTGGTCAACTGTGAAACACATGTGTGGCCAACATACTCTATAGATCTATCAACTCCATGCCTGCTGATGCTGACAATACTTGGAAGTTACCTCATGACAACCCATGTTCGGAATGCGACTCAACTTCTAGATGTATTTGTTGGCATCTCTGAGGTACATGCAGATCATGTACAAGGAGAAGCTCTAGGCTCACTTATGACTGGTTCAATGCATTGCCAATCTCTAATGCTAACAACTTGGAGCATTCAGGTACCAAAGTTTTCATTTGATCTATTATCACTTAATTTAAGTTCATTGCTGCCTTAAACTTCTGATTTTGTTTCCATTGAAGGTTCTACCTACAAGGAACAATTCGCTAGAACGATTGCCGAATGCCTTTAATAATCTTAAGCACTTATGTTTGGCCGTGGGCCTAGCAAAACAAGAATTTCCTGGCATATCTTGCTTGTTAAGGAGTTCCCCAAATTTAGAGACTCTAACCCTGCATATGCATGAACCTGAAATTGTCGATTGGGTGGGCATTCCTAAGTTCTGCACTGGATTATGTAATGTTGTAATAAAATGCCAGTAACTTTTTAACATCTTTATCTTATTGGTCCATTGACAGGAAGAGTTGCAGGAGGATGTTCTAGACATTTTTGACTTTGAAGAGCAGACCTATTGGGAGACACAGAATTGGATATTCAATTGTCTGCATAATTCTCTTAAAGAAGTCGTGATACATGGGTTTCTTGGAAGTATCAATGAGATGCGACTTCTTCAGTTTTTACTGGAAAAAGCTAGAGTTCTTGAAAGGATTAGTATAATCTCTAATTTAGCAAAACTGATCCTAGCAGGCGACCCACAACAACAAATAGAACACATGCAGTTTCAGTGCCAAATGTTCCAGATGTTGCTAAACTTCCCAAAAGCATCTACACAAGCTCGTATAACCCTTTACAGAAGCTAATTGAGGATATAATGTTTTTTTTTTTTTTTAAATTTCTGTTCAGTGTTGCTTTGTTGAATGCAATATACTATAAGGCTTTATTATCTAGGTGTAGAATATGGTGCTGGTGCCCTTCTTCTGGAGAGTGAAAATCTTCATGGAAAGCACCTAACGCTATGGTTCCGAATTGAACTTTTCAGTTTTCATAGTAAGAATTTTCTGTTACATCAATGGAAGTTTGTTTGAGGTCATTTAGCCTATTCTAGTTTAAATTTATCCAGAATCTAACAAAATGACCACAAGACAAAGATGCTAAGATTCATCATTCAATAGTAAGTTTTACAAGGCTTCAAATTGTCTTATTTTATAATCTGCCAACAAGTTAGTATCTTAAATTCCAGATAAAGCTCAACCAGCTCAAAGGCCATGAATTAAGTCTAAATCAAAAAGATTACACCCAACACATAAATCAAAATCCAAATAAACTCATAAACACTTCAAAATACACCATCTTCAATCCCATCAACATCACACAAAGCTCAAAACACAGAAAACAGAAGAACCCAGAGAAGAGATATAAAGTGAAGCACTTGAATAATTAGCAAACAGTAATGGTTATAGAACAATTTTAATGCTAATAAAATCTGTTTCTTTTACCTGTTGACTGTGAATGATCATCTTTCCATCCCGAAATTGACCAGGACATTTTTGTATTGTTGCAGAAGCTGGCGAACAAAGCGCCCATAAATTTCTGACCAAAAAAAAAAAAAAAAAAAAAAATCTGAAAAATATCAAAATTTAATCATAAATTAAAATAATATAGATCGTATTCGTATCTTTCATGTTGCAAATAAACCTGTAATATAAAATGATCACTTATTAAAAAAATTTACTGAAAACTTTTCCTTACTTAAACCTTTATTTAGAATTTACTATTTAATATTTAAACCGGAGGCCCGAAGCCCAGCCCAAATTAATCCCAAAACAATGAAAATATCGGCTCCTTAATACAAAAATCTCATCTTACCCTCTCATCATCTCTTCACAAAAACTCTCGCTGTCTCTCCGTTTCTCTCAATCAACGATGGCGACTTTGTACACCCCATCTCCTCTCACGCTAAAATCTCTCCTTTCACCTCGCCCTCAAGTCACGCTCGGACTCCGACCCAACTCACTGAGTCTCAACCTCCCAACTCGCTTTCGCTCTCGCTCAATTTTGACCGTCAAAGCTGGACCAACAGACAGCGACTACTCCTCAAAGAGAAGCAGCAGCAATGAACCAAGGGAGACGATAATGTTACCGGGATGTGACTACAACCACTGGCTCATTGTTATGGAGTTCCCCAAAGACCCAGCTCCCACTAGAGAGCAAATGATTGAGACTTATCTCAACACTCTTGCTACTGTTCTTGGCAGGTGATTGTTTGTTGTTTTGATAGATTATGAGAAAGGGTTTCATGGGTATTTTGTTTTGTGTGAAAATTTTCCTTGGTTCTGCTTTCAGTGTGTTTACTACGTAGTTTTTTGTGTTGTGACTTTTACTTGTTTGTTGGGATGAGAAAGTGTTTGTTTGTTGAGGAAGTAGTTCTTAGATTTTGTATCTTTTTGTTAAAAAGTGGTTCTTGCAAAGAGAGACTTTCAAACTTCAGTGAAAGTTCTTATTTTTATTTTGTTTATTGTGTGTGTAAGTGTGTTACCGGAGATATTATTCAAATTGTTTAAACCTTGTTTTAACTAGAAATTAATAATTCAACTCTCATTATTGTTTCCAATTTAGCTTAGTAACTGGCAGTAAACCATATGATGAATGAACATAAGTATAGATGGCATATTGTGATGCATATTTGAAGTAGTGAGCATCGCAAGAATCTCTTTTAAGTTATTAGGCCCAAGTCTTGGGTAATTTTCCTCATTAATCTTCAATAATGGAGAAAGCTCATATTAATTTTATTTTATTGTGGCTACAGCATGGAAGAAGCAAAGAAGAATATGTATGCTTTCAGCACCACCACTTACACTGGATTCCAGTGCACTGTATCCGAAGAAACCTCCGAAAAATTCAAGGGTATGCAGATAACTGACATTTGATTGTTTAAGCTATTTTACTTATTTATTGATTTGTGAGTGTCTAACATGTATTGTTCATTGTAGTATTGATTTGTGAGTGTCTAACATGTATTGTTCATTGTAGGACTGCCGGGTGTGCTCTGGGTGTTGCCGGACTCTTACATAGATGTCAAAAATAAAGATTATGGAGGTTAGTTTCTCCACTTCACTGTTCATTTGAATAAATAGTTTGTAGCGTCAGAATAACCAAACCGCGGCAGTAGTCTAATGGTCATATAATGTCCTTTCATATTATCTTGTCTATTTGTAGGTGATAAATATGTAAATGGGGAGATAATTCCATGCACGTATCCTACTTATCAACCAAAGCAACGAAAGGAATCGAAATATGTTAGCAAAAGATATGAGAGACGACGAGATGGCCCTCCACCTGAACAAAGAAGACCCAGACAAGCAGCAGCTCAGTCAGAATCAACTTCTGGATGAGGTACCTAAATTTCCATTATACTTTGGTTACTGAATTGTGGTTTCATAAATTTGGTTTGTATAATATTTATTCTATCATTTTTTGACAGTTTGCGACTACAAAGGCAAATTGAACTATGCTGCTATGGATATCAGTTGTATAATGAAGACCCTTGTTATATGGGGTACTCATCTGTTTTAATTTTTTCCCTGCTAGGGTGAAAGTTTCTCTTAGCTAGAGTTTTGGAGAAAACTATTGTGCTACATGGGCTTTTTTAGTTTATTATTATGTGAGTTAAATGTCTAGTGGTACTTTTGTATCAGATTTTGTCACTTAGTTTTAATCTATATGGTTATTCTTAGATGGAATTTGGATGATGTTTGATTTGGTTATTAAAATTTTTCTTTTTTTCTTGATCTTTGTGCCTTTGGAAAGAAGAATGACAAGGGAACTGTGTAATGACATCAATTGATTAACAGGGTAAGATAATTTGAAATCTCCGAAAAGATATATCATAAACAATAATATTGTCCTTATAAAGATTTTCATACAAAGTGGGTGGCAAAAAATGAATAAAAAAGTAAAATAAAAGGTCATATTCATTATATTCACTTTTTTTATTTATTTTTTGTCACACTACTTTGTATGAAGATTTTTATAAGATTTTTTTTTGTAAATGTAACATACTCTATGATGAAATTCTTCTCAAGCCTATGAAATTATGAAACAACTTGTTTTGCTGGAGAGACAACATGAATAAGCATATGAATCTTGGTTATACGAAGTAGGGTTGTATCAGAACCTGGACATGGGAGCTGACTTCTGATTTCATTTGTGAATTAATTGATTAGCTTTCTTGGCATAATGAAAGCAGAAAATGGAATTATAAAGATGGAACTTTTTGTATATGATGTTTTAGAGATCATAGGTTTTTGATTCTGATAACAGATGGAGCATGCTTGAACCCTCCATGTAATGACACCTTATTGTACTAGTATAACAATTCAAGATCTTCCTTTCTTCTGGCATCCTTCCACAAATAAGTGGGAGAGAGGGGTTAAACATATACATTCTGCTGACCTGCATATATAAAATCATGTTTTGCTTCCAAATTTATGTGTTTATCTGTATACATTTCTGCCCCTCATATTGTCCAGACTCCTAATTCACATATTGCTAATGAGTGACTTAAAACATGTCACAATGGCATCAAACCTCTGAATTCTGACATAGCCCACTCTACCTGAAATCTTGTTGAGGACTTTAAGGAACAAAACCCTAACAAAATGATGCCATTGCTACCTCAAAGCTAATGGTCATGAAATTCAAGTTCCTCGCACCTCACCGCCCTATTTATAGTATTTGCTTTTGATACTCAAAAATAATAATTGAAGTCCCCTTTTGTGCTACAATGATTTTGCAATTGGCAAACTGATGTTGGATTTATGCATCTTTGAAGTACTTATGCCATTTCTTTAAGATTTGGACGGGATCTGCACACTGTCCATGAAATCCTAATTTGTTTATTGTCAAGAGCCAATGATTAAATCTAGGGCAAGAAGTTTCAAATGTTCATCAAATCCTGAAACTGAAAGAAGCATGTTCATCAAATACTGAAACTAAAAACTAAATATGGCTGGCCAGAAAGATACACATGCCTCCATGCAAGATCGAACTACAGACCTTCAATTTACTACTTTACATGACTCACGCTCTACCACTGAGCTATAAAGGCATGCACATTGCATTTCTTTGCAAGTTGAAAAATTACTGTTTCAACTAGGTGTGTGTTGTATGTGATTTTTCCACCAAGCTCGGAGTATCACTAGGTTATAGCCCAATCCAAAACCAGCTCAACTCTACTGATTGTTCAACTCAGCATATGCTCGTTGAGTTATAGCTCGACCTAGCATAAGCTAGTTGCGACCAATCCTTACAGTCGTTCAACCAATTCACGGATAAGTTTAGATTCCGGATATCTCATGAAGGATCAGATCGACAACAATCTTTGTGCAATCACAGCACCCAATCGCGAGAATATCGGAGTTGCGTTTCGAACTTAATTGTAATCCCATTATTTTTGCTCTTTCCTTTGTACAAACTCTGTATATAAACCCCCTTCAACGATAAGAAAGGGGTTAGAAAACATTTCTAGGATTGTCATTGTAAGCTCTCACAACAAATGTAAAAACAGTGGACGTAGCTCAAGTGTTCATCTTGTCGAACCACTTTAAAAATCTCTTTGCCATTTACTTTACTGCATTTTATTATTTACTCACAGCTGGTTACCTGTAATCACGCACACATCAGTTCCGATCTCGTCAAGGTCGATTGGATCACTCTAGTTGGTGCAAAATCTTGTATCAACATTTTGGCGCTAGAAGGAGGGGCTTGAACCTCCGCCAAAATCTCATAAATTTCGACAAATAACCTCAGTGATTTAATCAGTCTAGGCCCACAGTGGTACGTACAAGATCGAAAACCACCACCAAAAACCACAACAATGTGGAGATAACCCACTAGGAGGTACAACCATTGTTTTAAAAACCGGACCGGAGGGCAACCCATTTTGATCGCTGGGTCACAGTTCAACCGGTCCAACCGGTTAGATCGTCGGTTGAACTGATGGTTTGATAGGTTTAAAATCTAACAAAAACACCCCTGATAAATACCATCAGACCCTATAGGTTTGAAATCTAGCAAACACAACCCTGGCCAAATGCAAATCGACGATTGATTGGGAGAGCAGCGGCGACACACCAGGATGGGTAGATCGGATGATGGGGAGGGCAAATCAACAGTTAGTAAGTAGAGGCATCGCCAGAAAATGGTAGATCGGTGGTGGAAGTCAATGGTCACGGTGGCTTTTATTAGTGAGATGACTGGATCTTTGTGAACGACGGCAAAGGAGCTTGGGAGAAGGTAGATCGATGGCTGAGGAAGTCTGTCGATGCCGGGACATGGAAGAAAAATCACACGGCGAAGGTGGACGACGAAACATCACGCCGTAGCTAGAGATGAAGCATGACAGTGCCGGAGAAAGTCAGAACTCAGAGGGTGGTTTCTGACAGTAAGGGAAGGTGAAAGGTCGCAGGAAAAGGGGAGGTCATTTCCAATTTGCATTTGGTCAAAGGGTGTGTTTGCTAGATTTGAAACCTTCAGGGACTGATTCATATAAATCAGGGGTGTGTTTGTTATATTTTAAACTTGAAACAGTTAAAAAGAGTGACTCGACTCGGAGAAGGCCCTGGGTCCCGGTCCAACCGATTGGACGAACCGGTTCGGTCTAGTTTTTAAAACAGTGGGTACAACAGGACGTCGTTAGGCGTCGACCACTAGTGTCACCTACTCAACAGATCGCGAATAACCAGGAAGCAATGACGTCAAACCCCGAGAACGGCCAACTGGTGGAAATGATCAGGAAATGACCAAAACAATGGTTGCACATGCGGTGCAACAGAATGTGGCTGAGCTAAGAAATCAGTAACCAACCACACAAAACCTTGACCAGCCACGCTTCACCGATATCACCCTGACAGGTCGAAATTCGGCAGGTGACCAGTTTGGCTCATCGGTACCAAGAGGCGACCGACACCCCCGACATCACAAAGTACATTCCGCTCACGAGCATGAGTCCCACGGGTAAACTAACCCCGGGAGGTGACCAGGAAAACAACCAATGGGGGAGAACGAAGGTAATGGTCGCCCACGAGACGCTCAACCTACTTAGCGATATTCCTAGCGTCAGCGTGCCGGTCTTAACCCACACCCAAGAAAAGCTCGATCCTCTCAAGCTCGCGAGATAAGTCATGTGCGTCAATCTAGCAATGATCGATGTTCTGGTTATAACCGACGTCATGAGCAACGCACTGATGAGCATGATAACACCTATCAACCTAGCCATCATGACTCAACTTCGCGCATTAATGTGCATAATGGAGGGGGCTCACAAGCAACATATTTATGAACTTACTTGCTTGAGGTAAGGCTGAACAGAGCCAGCCAAGGCAATCACAACGAAGACTTAGATCGGGTGTAGAAAATGCTCGATGACCTAAGAGCCCGCCAGAACAATATGGCGGAAGAAATAGTGAGCTCTCCCTTCACAAAGGAAGTTCGACAGGCCCTGCTCCCACAACGGTTCAAGGCGCCAGAAAGTAAGTTCGACGAGAAATGAGATCCTACAGACCACCTCGACACTTTCAATGACTTGATGGAGCTGCACCAAGTCTGTGACTTGGGAAAGTGTCATTGCTTCGCGGTCACATTGGTAGGGGATGCCAAGAGGTGGTACAAGAGACTCAAGGCAAATGTCAACAGTTTTTAGTAATAATTCTCCTCACTGTACTTGCAGCAATTCTAAGCGAGGAGACAGTTCGCAATGCCGCTCAGCTACTTGAGCAATATTCGTCAGGAAAAAGATAAAACACTGACCTCTTATTTAAGGAGGTTTTAGAACGAGCAAGCAAAGGTCACGGAAGCGCTCGAAAAGTCAATCCGAACTTTGCTAATTGTAGACATCAGGCTTCTTCAAGGTTGGGAGCTGGCACATCTTTTGGAGCCTCGCCCGAAGGAAGATCAGCAACAATGGGGGGAAGTGTAGCCAAGGGAGCCGGATCCTCGACCTCTTTCTTGAGCCCAGTCTCTTGCTCGCCTTCCTTGACTTTTTCTTGGCCCTCACCATCAGGCTCGGAATCATCAGAATACACATAGGCCATTTCCTAAGCCCGATTGGTGATGACTTCATTCAGTCCCTAGATTTGAAGCCTAAGCCACTCAGTCTCAGCCTCGGCATTTCGTCAACCTTCTGCTTCTTGGGCAAGGTCGAGCGAGGCTTGTTTGAACATTGCCTCCTAATTTAAGACAATTTTTTGAATCGAGGAGAGCTTAGAGTTTAGCTTATTATTGGCACGCCGCTGCTATGCCAAACTCTTCTCAGACTCGGTCGCCTTGGCTTCAGCCTTTGCCTGCGCGGCCTCGTTCGCCTTAATTTTGTCAAGGAACAAAGGTTGTCATCTCTTCCCTAAGCCGCTCAAGCTCGGCCTGTTTCGCTTCTTTCTCCTTCTCCGCAACCTAGACCATAGCCAAGGCATCCTCCTTCACCATTTCTACTAGATGCAATCCTACCTTTACCGCATAACTACACACCAAAGCCAGCATCTAGGTGGGAGATGAATCCCTAACACCCACGAAAGTTCACGGGGTGACGCCATCTTTGGCCGCTGCAGCCCCGATGCTAATATGATCAGGGAGTTGATCGATTAATACATCGAACGCTACTCGAGCCGCCTCATCCATCTTTTTTCCTTTTTGCCAAGACGAGCTGGATTTACTTTCCAAGGTAGCGGCAACTTCGCTCGT